ATAATAGTCAAGGGGCATTAAAAAAATCACCTGCCAAAACCTTATTATTCTACTTGTAGGATGTCAACCTAGGGAAACAGCAGAGAACATAAAATTACTTGAGCCAAGAGCTACTTTCCACTGTTAATTTCAGTATCAAAATTCTTTAAAAGTTATCAAGGTCTAACATTTGGAAAAAAGTAAAGTAAGCTCTACTAATTAAATTGTGTTGTCATTTAAATATATTTATTATATACTTACACTCGTGGGGATTTGGGCCAAGTAATGGCAAATGGAAACAGCAGACATAAATATTACATGTACAGAATGAACAACTATATTAAATCCACACACCCCAAAATTATACATTGAATTCTACATACCAAAGTGTCATTCTTGCTGTTTCTTAGGGTGGTTTTCCAATTTTTCTGTATCAACAAATGCTTACCTCCTTTATAGAAGCGGAAGGTATCCAAGCTTGCATCTATAGCAGCAGAGATGGATCCCATGTTTTTCATTGCCACCAAGAGGGCCTCCTCCCGCCGAGGAATTGTCTGAAAGGCAGTGACATTGGCAGCAGAATACTCAGGCCTGTATTTGCAGGGTCCATCCTTTGAATGGTAAAGGAAAAGAAACTTGATTATGACCATCCACTTCCTGGGGAACATGACTTCAAGGCAGCTTACAGGTAAAAAATTTCCAAGTCAAGTTTGTTGTGAAGCAACCCAGGAGGTGAAAGGCTATTTATTGTCTTAAAATTAAAAAACTAATTGGTGGCTCAGTAGGTTAAGCATACAACTCTTGATTTTGGCTCAGGTCATGATCTCACAGTCATGGGATCGAGACCCGTGTTGGGCTCTGTATGGAGCATGGAGCCTGCTTGTGATTCTCTCTCTCTCCCTCTCTCTCTCTCTCTGGACCCCTTCCACTCTCATGCTCTCCCTCTCTTTCTCTCTCTCAAAATTAATAAAAAAACCTTTTTTGGGGCGCCTGGGTGGCGCAGTCGGTTAAGCGTCCGACTTCAGCCAGGTCACGATCTCACGGTCCGTGAGTTCGAGCCCCGCGTCAGGCTCTGGGCTGATGGCTCAGAGCCTGGAGCCTGTTTCTGATTCTGTGTCTCCCTCTCTCTCTGCCCCTCCCCCATTCATGCTCTGTCTCTCTCTGTCCCGAAAAATAAATAAACGTTGAAAAAAAAAATTAAAAAAAAAAAAAAAACCTTTTTTAAAAAAAGCAAAACTAACTGGTGTGGATTCAATGAAACACTCATGGTCTACCTGTCCCTAAGAAGTTTTTCACTCTGGGCAAATCCATACCTTGTGTAAAAGGTATGCATATCTCCATGTAATGTAGAAATAAAAACAGCTATGTGGTAACCATCTAAGCAGAGAACTATGCCAGGCTAATACCGTTTAATGACAGTCTTGACAGACTGCAGATAGAGAGTCTATCTACAATTGGAAATGTGACTGTTAAACATGGTGTCTGTTTTCTTCAAAAGCATTCAACTCTAAGGACAGAGCTGGAATGGTGACAAGTGAGGAGCTCTACTCACTCTTGCAACATATGGATAGGATTCTTCTGTGTCCAGACCTCTGTTGTTCCTAACATACTGGAAGGCATTACTCATTAGACCACCATTGCAGCCCTCATTGCCTTCAGCCTGAGAGCAGTCCAGGAGGTTCTGCACACTCAAGGAAACACGTTTGCCGTATTTCCGGAATATCTGTCCTTCGATGGCACCAGTTGCACTAAAAGCCCAGCCAGAAGCACACCGACCCTGAAAACAAATTATAAAGGTCTCAGTCTACAAAACCAATAGCAAGAGTGAAAACAGTCCATCTATATGAAAACTTTAAAACATAGCAACGGCAGGGTGCCTGGGTGGCTCATGGTTAAGCGTCGGACTTCAGGCTCAGGTCATGATCTCAAGGCTTGTGGTCTAACTTCATCTACTCTGCATCAGGCTCTGTGATGACAGCTCAGAGCCTGGAGCCTGCTTTGGATTCTGTGTCTCCCTCTCTCTTTGCCCCTCCCCAACTCGTTCACTTTTTCTTTCTCTCAAAAATAAATGAACATTAAACAAAATAAATAAATATAGCTACAATATATTTTTCCACAGCAGGAAACCATAGCAGGGAGCCACTTTCTTTTTGGCTTTCCTCTTGGAGAGAGACCTGTTGAGTAGTCATCCTTGATACTCACAAGACTAATATCAGGTGTCTGTCTCCTATTCATAGGTAAGGAAATACCAGCAGGGAAAGGGACTTTAAACACTGTCCCATTCTCATTCTTCTGGATTTTAAGACCAATCATCATGTGCCTGAATTCTTCATCAGTCTTCAGGGAAAAGAAAGTAGAATATTGACAAGCATGAGATTTGGGGGGAAAGTACTGAGAGAAACAACAAAACTTTCAGCAAATCCGTGCCATACTCACCATGTCACCAAAGCCATTCATTGCCATCAAGAAGCTATGTTTCCCTTGAAGGTATTCCCTATTGTGCTGCATAATCATTTTCATATTCTTCTGCCACACGGCTCTTCTGCATTCTTCAACCTACAGGCAAACATATAACATATCATTTTTATTTGTATTTAAAACCTACTGACCTGCACCAAATGGATGTGCTCACAGAGAGGAGGAGAAACCACAGCCATGGATGGTCTTATGCTTCTGGGAGCTGTTTTCCAGCAACCACACAGCAGGACATATGCCCACACTATGCACACTCATGGTGCTGTGCTTACTGCTTTGGTAAGAGTGGTCTCAAGATGCTACTCTGTGCTACAAACTCCCACCAGCACGGGCATTCTCTGTGAGTCCCCTAGATAGTTTAGATTTTAGATGTTACCAACCACACCATATTGTTTTCCATGTGTCTCCTTCCACCGGATCCACTGTGCATCTAAACTTTGATCAAGCTCTATAGTAGCGGAGACTATTCCCAAGCAAAGTGCAGTCAGGAAGTCAAAAGGATGCATGTTTCAAAACCTAGGAAGCAAAAAGAAAAAAAAATGAGAATCTGATTAGACTGATCTGTCTAAAAATCCATCCTCCTTTCTTCTAGATGTTAGAGCCACTATGGTGGAGTAAAAACATTGAATTTATCCTCCCAAGTACTTACAGAAGGATAACACTGCTCACCTGATCATGCAGCTGTGCAGATGCTCTCGGCAGGTGTAGCCCCAGGGCTTTCTGGTGCTGGGC